ACATGCAGCAGCCACCACTATCCCACTGCAGCTGCTGCCGCGTCCCGTACTGCTTTCCTGCAGCCAGTTGCACATGCGGCTCCACAGGCTGCTGATGTGCCTCGCACCTCACACACCACCTGTCAGCAGCCCACAGAGCTGCATATGCAACCAGCTGTGGGAAACTGGTGCAAGGCACAGCAGCAGTGGCATGGGCAGCTGCTGCCTGCGAGCCCAGCCCCCGCTGGCCGGCCAGATGGTGCATGCACAGTCTGCAGAGGGTCACCACTACCCTTGCCCGCCTGGCCCTGCTCCAGGGAGTGGGCACAGAGACCCCACCTCCATTCTCGATCTGCACCCCCCCAGCCTCTTCCCCCCACACACACTTACCTGCTGTGTGTGTGTGTGTGTCCTGCCCACCCAGCTGCAGCAGGCATGTGGCATCGTGCAGCTCTAGGGGCAGTGGGGTGCAGAGTCCAGCATGCAGCAGCAGCTGCCCATGTCTCACACACAGATGGGGGTATGTGCCCCTGGGAACTCCACCAGGGTATGCGCAGCGGTACGAGCTACACCCCCACCCCCCCCCGCACCTTCCAGACGAACCATTCTCATGGCTCCATGCCACAGTCCGCCCCAGTTGTGCAACACCTGCCACTGCCCCTGCCCCCGTCCTAGCCCCTCCCTCACCACAGGGGCCTCAATTTGCACCCCCCCCCCCTTAAAACCAAGAAAAAATATAAGGGGGCGCATGAGCTGCAACTTTGAGGCAGAAGGAGTACACTTGTTAAAAAAAGGTTGAAAACCCTTGGTTTACAGTAACCAGAAAATTAGCACAATGACGGTATGGCAGGGAACAAAAGAAGCTGAACAATGGAGAGGGAAAGGCATTTTTAGTCTGACTGCTTAAAACTAATTCCATTACGGTCTATTAACTACAAGGGTTAATGAGACACCAGTAGAAAAGCCACCTTTGTTAAAGATTCAACAGCCCACCCATTCATTTAAGGTATGAGAAACTTCCCAACAGGCATCAAAGCCTCCCAAAAAAGCCAAAAAATTCTCTCCCTAGTCCCTTTTATTTTTTTCAAGGCCTGAAAGGTTAAACATCATAAAGAACCAAAAAAAGGGCAGAGCCTCATTTAAAACAAATTCCTTGCAAGACACCTTTATGCCATTCACTTGTACAATGCATTTTGAGATCAGCTGAAAGGTGGCACTGAAATGCTAACTTTGTCGTTACACCACTCGATATTAAACAGTCCAGGCAGATCCAGGAGGCACAAACACAGCTAGTTTATTTCTCTTAGGAATTACACAAAACATGACACAGAAGAGGAAATCAGAGAGCTAAGAAAGCTATAGGAGGAGCTGCTTATTTGGTGTAGAAGTATGTGCACACAGATCCACCATCCATCACACCCAGTCTCCCTTCTGTCCTGCACAGAAGAGAAGTCTTTGACCCCAGGCATGTATAGCAGCAGAGAAATCACTGGATACATGCTGTTCCTCTTCCAAAATTCCACAGTGGGGCACCAGAAGGGAGGTTTCCTTAACTCTCCACTCCCATGACACAGCTATTCTCCTGTATCAAGCCTCAGCTCATCCTTACCTGGCTTGAAGTTGCATGGCCAAAGATCTATCATGGCCACTCAGCCCTGCTTAGGGACAGGGCACTAATGAGGAGAACTGATGCCTGTTTCAGATGGGGGAAAGGAGAGAAGTGCCCACAAACCTGATACCAGACTTTGGTATTGCACCCATAAACTAGCCTCTCTTGAATATGCAACTGAGGACCCTCTAACCAGTCACCTGTTGCTATACAGCTGCTGCCAGACCATGGAAGTGGTATCTTCATACAGAGTAATGAAACAGCTCCCAGCAGTGATGAAGCAAACATTACCCAGTCACACCTTGGCAGTCTTCAGACGGGGCCTTCCCAGGAGAATCCCAGTGTCCTACTTTTACTGGTTGTGTTTGAGTCAGATTCCAAGAGCAGCATCTAGATTCTGCTTCTCCAACACCCTCCCCGTCTTTTCAGCTGGATAATGTGTTCTTATTTCCTGTCCTGAACACTGTTCATAGATTCATAGATGTTAGGGGCTGGAAGGGACCTCATGAGATCATCAGGTCCAGCCCCTCTGCTCTTGGGCAGGAAAGACTTAAATTCAAGTCTCCTCCCACCCAGAGGTGGCAGCATTTCACCAACAGGGTAACACCACTAACAAAATGTAAATTCTCCTGTAGCGGGAAGAATGCCAGATCCTGATATCACTGCAGAGAAATCTCAGCTATGTTCTCTCTGGCCAAGAACCAAGATGATTTTTGGAAGCTGCCCCCAGGAGACAGATCTCCCAGGGGACAGGTGCATGCACTGCATGTCCCAGTACATCTTTATTTTATTTATTTATTTATTTACTATTAAATAAATAATAGAAGACATTTTAAAAAGCAGTAGTAGCTGCTGCATTTCACCTGTCATTCAGGTTCGATCCAATAGCTAAATGAACCCAGTCAACAGCTCAGGTCTGATAAGAGCAGCCTGACTTGAACTCTGCAACGACTCTTGGAAAATATTTGGGCAGAGAAAAAAGATGATTTGCAACTTTAAGGAAAGACAGAATCAGTTCAGGAAAAGCTCATTCCACTACTGCTGACTGAAATATCTTCAGCCCAGCTCTTCCTTGCTTGTCCCTCTACCCCACCTCCCAGGAAGATGGAAGGACTCATTGCTGTGCAATTCATAGCATATCTATATCACAATGTAACAGAGCACAGGGTGTGCTCTGTTACTCAAAGGGGCATGAGCAAACAGCCAAGCAGCTTGCAGGTGGCTGCACTCCCAATCAGGTGCAATTACCTGATTGGGAACAGGGCCCAGGTGTTCTCTATAAGAACAGGCCCTGAGCAGTGTGGCCAGCCGTCTACTGCTAGCAGCTGGGAAAACACCACCCAGCTGTAGCTGCTGCTCATGACATCTTAGAGGTACAAGGAAGGAGCTATGGGGAAGGTGGAGGTTCCAGGTGCTGGGGCATGACCTAAAACTACACCTTGCTGGGGTAGGATGGTGTGATGGGACTGCCAATGTCAGGGCAGTCTCCAGGAATTGCCACACCAGTTGCCTCCCTAGTGAACAGCGAGTACAGGGTGCCAAGAAAAAGCCTCAGCCCCCGCTGCCTTGTGGGTGACCCTGTCGAGGGAAAAGGCAAGGGGAGCACACCCTGAAGAACAAAGCAGGAGCCCAGACTCACAGTGAGTCCTGAGGCAGGGCCCAAATCAGGGGGGGACCTGAGACAGCTTCCAGGCTCACTGCAAGACCTGAGTGGCATTAAGGAGCCAGGTGTGAGGCTCCAGGGGGCTGGGTCCCTGAGCCTACAGGCAGCTAGATGTGAAGTTCCTGGGGCAAAGGGATAAGGGATTGTGAGCCCAGTGTCAGGCAGGGGATTGAGGCCCCAGTGTGGGGGCGCGAGGGGACCAAGAGGGTCCCAAGCCAGGCTAGGAGCCCATGGAAAAGGGAGGGCCTGGGAGCCCCAAGTAAACAGGATTGTGAGCTAGGCCATGTATGCTAAGCCCCGATTGATTGAGTGGGCAGGTATTAGGCCGGACAAGCTATAGGCTGGGTGCTAAGCCATGGATGCCATCTGTGAGGCATGGGACATGGTACAGGGGAGGTCAGAGCTGTATACATAGGCCCTTGGCATCAGGGCAAGTAAATGTGCAGCCTCCCGCCTTGTTATCTTCCAACTAGTATCAAAGGCATGGCAGGTGAGGTAGGCGGGTGGTTTGCCCTGAAACAAGTAGGCAGGCCTATGCTCAGATCAGCCCCAGGATGCCCACTTGTTACACACAGGTTGAAAGGGCCATTGCAATTCATGCAGGCATGCTCAGATCAGCTTTACTGTAGCTGACCCAGGTAACAAGAGCAGTGAAAACATGGTCATATGGGCTAGTGATGACAGTACATTCCCAGGGCCCCAGTGGGCTTGTACTTTGTCCACAATGAAGCCCATGCCACTGTGTCTTCACTGCGGCATTACCCATACTACCTAGATACTACCCTGATACACGTGCCCATGCTGCTCTTCTACCTTCACTTTGCTGTTGATATGCCTTTAAGGGACTGCACTGGTCACCATCAGAGGCAGAGATGTGGGTAATGGTGAAGCAAGATGGAGAGAACTACTGAGAAGGCCCCAGAATGTGCACAGCTGGAAGAGGAGGTGCTCTGTCTACAGAACTGTTGATGGGCTGGGAGCAGATCCTAACAGATTGCTGGATCTATTCTGCTTCCCCATGTGCCTCCCAGCCACAGCTCATGGCTTTCACCACAGCATCGTAGAGCCTGGTCCAAGCCTCTCGCATGTCTGGACTGAAGGCAGTGCCAAGGCATTTCTCCAGCATGTACAGCAAGGAGTCTCCCACAGCCTGCAAACCAAACAGGAAGGCACCAGCATCAGAGCTCCTGGGCAGGGGTCTCAGGACAAACTCAGTCTTCTCTCCTGAGGAATTTCATTCTCCATCTCCCTTAGGGGTCTCTCCAGTGGCACAAGGGACCTGATAAGCTGTCTCAGGTCCCTTCCTGATCTGGGACCTGCCTCAAGACTCACTGTGAGCCTGGGCTCACAACTTTGTTCTTCGGGGTGTGCTCCCCAAGAAGACCACACAGCTTCTTCAAGTCCCCCACCTTAACAGGTACCCTGCCTCACTGCTGCTCCCTGCCCTTAAAAAGCAAAGCCCTGTCCACTTCTCTTGCCCTTATACAACTGCTCAAGCTATCCCTAGGCTGCCCTGCCGCCATCCTTGTGAGCTGATAGTCCCAATAATCTGTCCTGGCTGTGTGTGGCTTTTGCCCAGGTCCTGTCTGCTCTTGGTTGGTCCATCTTAGAGGCCTTTCCTTCAAGCCTCTGAAGGATGATGGAGGGAGCACAGGCTAGCTATGAATGTGGACAGGAATGTATTAGGGAGGGGAGGTGACTAGGAAATGCATAGAGCCCTTAGCCCCCAACTGCCATACACCTGTCCTCACTGTTGTCATAACACAAGACAGGCCAAACTGAGACACATTCTGATGTTATGTACAGCAGCAGGTAAAGATCTGATTGCATGAGACTTTGACTATTCAGTTTAGAAGCGTCAGAGTCCACCCCACCAACCCTGAGAAATCTCCATCACATGGCACTCCATCCCCCATCCAAACCCCCACTTCTGGCACAGCAGCCCAGCTGAATCCTGGCAAATAGCTGATCTAATATGGCACCAACTCACACTGGCTCCCCACAGAACCTTCCTCATTTTGGCTCCTAGGAAGAAGCCCCAGAGAGTAAAACAGTCTACCTAAGGAATGATACTAGCTCAGCTTGGAAAACTAAAAGCAGAGGAAGACCACACTCAGCCAGATAACTAAAGCTGTGGGCTGTGTTCCTTTAACCTTCTGGATGTTTCCCATAATCTCATTTCATGGTGCAGTGTTTCTGATCCTACTCATTGTTAGGATGGGGCTATATTTGGGTCTAAGATGAGGAATGCATCTTGGATACAGCAGTGAGGCTAGAACAGGGATGATTTGTCTTGGAATACTTTGGTGTTAAGGGCCAGTACCCCTATGCCAGGCTAAGACCTTACTGTGTTCTCTTTTCAAATACTACCTGGAGACTCTGCCCATGGACTTTAGGGTGTTGAGGGAAGCAAGGAATATAACTCGGGTTAGTCCAAGTCCATCCAAACAGCAGCCCAATTAGAGGATTGTGACACATTCCCCCAGAGACCGCCAGCGGTTCACATGGTAGGTTACTTTAGATTCCGGGATTGGCTTGGTTATTTTTTTTTTTTTTTTAGCCACTGAGCAAGCCCAGCAACATTAAGTACCAAGGTCCTAGAATGCAGGCATGTGGGTACTATGAAGGCCCATATACCTCCACTCCTGGTAGATCAAGGTAATACCATGAGTGAATGGGAAAGAATGCTGTGGTAGGAATAGCATGAAGAAAGAATATGCCTCACCGAGAAAGAATCCATCTTCACGCCAACTGCTTGGTGCTTCTTACCCAGGTTGCAGAGATATTCTTCCAGACACAGTAAGTTCTCCAACTGAGTCACAGCTGCATCTATCACCAGCATGACCTGAAGAGACAAAGCCAGACTGAATGAGATTAGGAGAGAACACTCCTTTTGCTATACCACAAAGAGGAATACTTATCCAAACAGTGTTCCCCTTACTAGTTTGCCCACAGGTCTTCCCTCAGCTCACTATACAGTGAAGACCATTTCACATCCGCCTTGTGCCATTATTATGCTACACTGGTGGAACATCACCGGAAACTGGTATTCTGCCAGAAAAACTCCAGTGTTTTCCATAGTTATATCACTCCCTCCTCCTTCCTGCAAAGGTGAATCAGGGCAGGTACCCTTGCATCTTATGATGCTGTTGTCCTACCGGATCTCAAGGGACATAGAACTGACTTCATTAGTCGCCAGCTGAGACGCTCACGGCCCAACCCCATTTCCAAAGACCTTTCTCTATAGGTGCTATAGCAAGTGGCAATGGTGATCAATAGGGGGGAACTTTTCTCTCTAAAAGAATGGTAAATAACATTCTAATGCTTGTAATATGACTTATTAAATGCAACCTGAAAATTGAGATCATGACCATCTGGGACCATTACAGCTCTCTTGGCAAGTACTGAGTATCATCAAATTGCCACTTGGATCATTCCATTCTAACTCCCTTTACATAGGAAGAAAAACCTATGGTAGATCTCATGTGTGGATTTCAGTAAAGCACCTGATACTTTACCATGTGACACTATATTAGTCAAGCTAGAGAAGATGGGAATTCGTAGAGGAATTGTAAAGTCGGTAAGGAGCTGGCTTAAGAAAGCCAGCAACAGGCCATGTTGAAAGGGAGATTATTGGACAAGGAAGACTCCCAGTTATCTTTCTGCTTGGTGCAGGGGGCTGGACCCAAAAATCTTCCGAGGTCCCTTCCAGCCTTACAATCTATGAATCTATGAAGTTGCTAATGGAGTTCCTCAGGGATCTGCCTTGAGACCAATTTTGCTTAATATTTCTAATGACATTGGCACAAAAAAGTAGGACCTGACGACATCTACCACGATACAAAGTAAGGAAGCATTGTCAATACAGAGGAAGATTAGGGTAGCCTGCAGGAAGAACTGGATGACCATGAGGACTGGATAAAAAAAAAATCCAGGATGACATTCTATAATACAAAATGCAAGATCATGCATTTGGAAATTAATAACATAAAATCTTGCTGTAATCTGGTAGGCCATCAGTTGGAAATAACTGAAGAGGAAAATAATCTTGGTGCACTGGTTGGTGGCAGGATGACTCTGAGCCATCAATGTGATGCAGCCTTGAGAAAGGAAGACATAATTATAGGATGGACCAAGTGAGATTTCCAGTGGAGACAGCAAAACATTAAAGCAATTGTATAAGGCCCTGACAAGGCTGCATTTGAAAAGCTGTGCAGAGTTCTGATTATCCATGCTCAAGAAAGATGAATTCAAACTGAAACAGGTTCAGAGAAAGGCTGCTAGGCTGATCAGAGGATAGGAGAGCCTAATTCACTAGAGCCTAATTCACTAATTAAACTAGCTCAGCTTGTTTAATGTAGCAAAATTAAAGCAGAACGAGGGGATGATTACTCTCTACTGATACCTCAAGCAGGTTAATACCTAGGAGCTCAAGGATAATGTTGGCACAAGAACAAATTGGTATATACTCATCATGGCTTCTAATTTAGACTGGAGACTAGAAGAAGGTTTCTAACCATCAAGGAAGTAAGGGGCTAGAACAGCTTTCCAATTAGAATAGCAGGGTTAGAAGTCTAACTGGATTTGGGGGGAGTTTGGTTAGTTTATGGAAAGGTTCCATGATATGTCTATGCGCCATAACAGAAGACTACACTCAGTGGCCTACTTGGTCCTGTCTAGACCTCCGTTCTTGGTACTCCCATGCAGTTTTTACAGGATGCAAAATTTTTACTTCCTGTCCTAAGCCATTGTGCAGGTTTGTAATGTCACTTCTCTGCTCCCCTGATTCGATGGCTGTTTTAGTACTAAACAAAGGGATTTTGCTACACTGCACAAAATTTATCCAGGGCATCAGGATCCTTCAGGATGATACTGTTGTCCTTTGCTACCCTCCAAAGTTGAGAAGGAGGAATGTGCTGTCCCTCACTATAAGTCACAATAGCTAGGCTACACATGAACAGCTGTGTGTTCTCCCCTGCTCCAGTAGAAGAGAATGGAGAATAGCAGGATTGTTGCTTACTGCCTACCTCTCTATCTAAGTTTTATAGCAAGCTATCACTGACATCCAGGTGCTTGAGCTCTCCTGGTTCTGTGTGTAGCTAAGCAGAGGGTTTCAGTGTCCAGTGTGGCCATGTCCTGCAATACCCAAGTAGTACTGAAGTCAAATAAGAAAAGAGTCCTCTGATTTTCCCAAAGGCCAATCTACCTCAGTTAGAGCATGTCAGTTATTTTGTATTTGCACAGCACGATCACTCCTCACTTGTGTATGCAAAGCAGTTTGACCCTGATGTAGCTTCACTAACCCTCTGGATTGGTATTTCAGAGGGTGAACTGTCCCTATGTTATGAAACACCGGGCATTAGAGGAACAAGCTCCCTCTGGCAGCATTTACAATGCCGGTCTCTTCCTTTCATGGAACTTCTGCTATGCTGCACCCCCAGTATTTTTCATCCCTTACCTTCCTTATATGATCCAGGAACTCAGGGGAAGAGAGGCATTCTTGTGGGCTGGAAAACTGTCTACAGTTGTACTGGAAGAGGGACAGGAGGTCAGGATCCAGATCAAACAACCTTCAAGAGAAAGGAGGAAACTTCAAATATTTCACACTTCTCAAATGACAACCATTCCTTAACATTGCCCCCATCTATCATTCCCCACCCCTCATTCCATCCAGCGGTGATGTTACAAACATGGAGTTCTGAGAGGGAGATTTGCCATGGTCTGGGGGTCATCTGCCTAAAACTGTTTCTGTTACTTTAGCCCACGTCCCCAGTCCTCACTGCTACAACACTATTCCAGGAGACAGGTCAGCCCAGTGTTAACTCCAGGGCACTGCTGAAATCCTTTGCTTGACTCCATCTTCCATGAAATCCTAGTCCCTGTCCTAACACTTCCATCTCAACTCTTGCTATTCCCTGTTTTTTATGATACTCCCTAATCTCAATTTTCTCAAATTCAGAGGAGGCCAGAATATTGCAGCCAAATGAGATTCCTACTTTCGCAAGCAGGGTCATAAAACTGGAATCCCTCACATGTTTGTTGGCTCCCAGTCCAAACCCCTTCTGCCAACTTTTTCACCATAGGACATTGCTTCCCAAAGTTTGGGACCAACAGACCACTGATCCCCGATGGTTCTTATTGACCATAATGTGCCCTTACCAAACTTTTAATTATAATGGGAAGGGGGTGATCCACAGACCACTGTCCATGCCTTATGAACAACCAGTGATCTATGGATCAGTTTGGGGTTCTTTGGAACATGGCATCTCACCTGTTTAACTTGCACACTGGTCCAGCAAGCAAAAAATCAAGAGGATCTGATAGACTGATGCCATCCATGGCAGTCTATGGCAATTCATAAAACCACACAGAGGGCACATCTACACGAGATGCTTTACAGCACAACAGGCTAATTTTCTGTGCAATAAAGCATCACCATCTACATGTGCACAGCAATTAGGGTGCAATAGACTAATTTACTGTGCTGCTGGATAGTCCCATCAGATACAAGTGGTATCTGGCAGTGCAATAAATTACTGCACTTAAATGCATGTGTAGATGCCGACATCAGGATTAGTTTACTCCAGCTCAAATTGAGCTGAAGTATTTTTAGTTGCATTAATTGCACTTGTAGATGCACCTAGAGTGATCAGTTTGCAATGGTTCTAGTCTCCTAGGTATCAACATCATCAGAGAGACTTAACATGAGATTGCAACATCCCTCACCCCTTCACCAAAACTTTTAAATGTCTCCTTAAATAGTTCCTTTCCTTCGGCTCTATCAAGCACGGCTTGTTTTCCAGATATTTGCATTTGCAATCTGCCTTTCAGATTCGGCTGTGGAAAAGCCAAGAGCTTCTCACAAACTTTTAGAGCCATTGCTTTTCAAGGACTTTTCAAGCACTTCCCTCCGTCCCTCCACTTTTCTGCCACTTAATTGAAGGGTTAATTCAGTGGAAGAGGCAGCAAATTTTCAGTTGCACTCCCCCATGCACTATTTCCCCCTCTTTGAGATTGATCCTGGAAATTAACTGTTCCTTTCTCAAGTGGCCAGCTCTCTGCCTCAGCAATGTGACAATTAGGAAGCTACTTAGATACACTCCACAGAGTTGAGTGGATGCACAAGGATCAAAGTAGGTTTTAAACAACAGAATTTCCTCTCTGCTAAGAACAAGGGAAATCACTGCAAAAAAATGCACAAAAGCACACACTCCACATACCTTCCCCTCCCCTCCCTTTTAACAAAGTTCTAGATTTAAATGCTAAGGAGCTTCTTTGGAAATCTGTTCTCTCTGCTCTGCAAATCACAGCAAATGGACAGAAGGAGCAGGCAGCAGGAGAAGTGATGGAGCCATGAAAAAAGAAATCATTTCAGAAGGGAGGGGAAGTGTTTCTTTTCAGAGAATGC